CGCTCTCAGCTTTTTTCCACTTTGATGTTCCTTTCCCTCTGTGTAGCCTAAAGTCAACTAAAGGTCTAATGATAGACATCAAAACGCCTGCCATTTGATATAAATAAATATTTTATATTTACTTAATCGATATTTTGTTATTTTACCTCTTCGTAACCGGAAAATAGAATATCAATAACTTTTCAACTTGAAAAAATCTTTATTTATGGAAATTAAAGTATAAGTTCTACTACTTCAATGAATTGGCCTTGGACAGTTCTAGGGCCACAAATTCAGTCAATTCTTCGGCTGTTTTATCGCGTGCGATTTTGTAGTATTTTGAAATGAGAGTTTTAATGTATTCCAACTTTTGCGTTGGGTCCGATCTTAAAAAAATTAACAGAAATTGTTAAATTAGAACGATTTTGCCCAAGAAGACAGTTTCATCAAATTAAATCTAACTGCTGACTATGTTATATCAGGTATAGCAAATCAAGAATGCTATGTCTTAAATATCGCTTTAATCGATAACTGATATAGGAAATTCCGCGTAAATGAACTGAACTGGCAAATTAATTTCACCACAAATTTTGTTTAAGTAACCGAAAAGATTAACCTTATTTCAACATGGATGCATGAGATTTTTCTTTTGTTAAGGAGGGAGCAGTGTCATCATGTTCTTTCCCTTTAAATGCTCATTATTAATGGCATTTCATGCCTTTGAATCGAATACATTTCCCCTGTATCGGAAGTTAATTTAAAATCTCCTTATTGAACACCGTTGTAGTTAACTAAAGGACTATTGTGAAATACTTCCAACTGTAACTCTCATCAGGAACAAAGGTATGATATAAATTAGCCTCTGGTTGGAAACTTAAACTCTGCCACGACTTGATCTTCACTGACTGATATCTACCGGAACAGATGTCATTTCAATAACTGGTATCTTGCGATCTTCGTACTTGGTAGAGCACGGTGGCAGTACAAAGATAAGATACTAATCACATTTTACTCAAAATAACCACGTAAATATTACAGAGACTTATGCGATGAAACAAATTGTATATAAGAAGAGTTCAAATGTAAAAAATAAGGTGGTTGGAAAGTCATAAGCTGCGTAACAACAAATTTTAGAAGACCTCAAAAGAACAGGTCTGATGATATTTTCTGTGATGACATTGTCATTGCCATTGATCAGGAGCAAACCATATACACTTGACGATAGAAAGAAGTCAATCACGCTAAGGTGACCATTTGAAGGGCTGGCCATTATAAAATCCAATACGTGTCAATACGTTCACACTTGGACGACATGTCACATCCTACCCTGGATTATTCAGTCCTACTAGTCAAGGTTTAATAATCCGAGGAGTTTAGATTTGAGAGAAAAATCGTGTACAGCTATATTCGATAAAGCTGACTTGTACACCATCATTAGGTAGCTGGTAAAAAATAACTATCCACGGTCAACTTCAGAGGCTTAATTTAAGATTTTAATTTACCTCAATATCATTTTAACTTCATAATGGTGTTGCCGTGAGAAGTATAATAGGCTATGACATGCCTCCTTCATTTCTGATGGCGATATTTAAGAATGGATCTTAATTCTTGACAGTTAGAATTAGTGCAAGAAAAGGGAAATTAGAGAATCAGCTAAATTTCACCCATATTTTAGATATGTTGCCTAAAATACTAGTTAAGTGCTAAACTGTCACTTGACTACTTAGAATCCATTATGCAAAATGGTTTTCCAACACCTAGAAGCAACTTAGTCAATTTTCATTTAGGCAAAAGATGCGGAGGGGTAAGTTGTCAAAACTTACTTAGAGGCTAAAACACGTCTAATGTAGATGAGCTGGATATTGTACAAATCTCGCCAAGTAGTCAATGTTTCACAATGGTCCTTTAATAAACTAAAACAAATAATCAGTAAATATTAGCTAAAAATCTTTGAAATAAAATTAAAATATGAAGTGAAAGCTAAGTAATATAGATTTATTTTTAAATATCAGCGTTTTAATAAATTTTATGGTTTTTGCGATTATCTTGAATAGTTAATAAGAAAAACTAGCTTTAACTCACTAATGATTGTTATCTGCTCCGTTCATTTAAAAGTACTTTTAAAAATGTCGTGCATTGTCGGGACTTTAAATAAATCCCCCCCCCCATTTATAATTGAACAATGCTTAAGCCCTTAAACAGAGTTTTGAAAGATGAATATTCTTTAACTCTCATTTCGTGGCCTTTCTAATGAACTTGCTATTAAATTGAAAATACCTGCCCCCCCCCCCACCCCCTCCCGAATTTATCTTTCCATGTCTCATTTATCAAGCCAGGTTATGCTACGCCCCGACTCAAGCATAGCATCTAGTCAAATATCACTGCCCATATTTTATTCACTGTTTTAATCTATCTCTCTATCTCCCTCTCTCCCTCTACAAAAAAAGAATTATTAGTCGCCCTAAATGCCATGATGAATTCACAGCCGCTAACACACCCAACATCGTTACTTGCGTCTTATTCTTCCTTAATTTGGATTTTCCTCTATTGCATATTTAAAGCAGTACTTGGGCTAATATTCAATAACACCATTATCTTACAGAGGCGCTATTATCCTTTTAACTCATACATTTGTTCATTCAAACTCTCATTATATCAATAATACACATATCGTTGATTCAATAGAACTAAAAAAAAGTAAGGCCTTTAAATGTCCCCCCCCCCTATTACAATAGGTGGACAGAAGGTGCCTACCTGTAACGATTGGCTGCACTGTCCAATTCCTCTTTCAGGGATTCTACCTGGCGATTCTTACTTACTAGCTGCTTGTTGACTTCTTCATATTGATCGATAGGTACACGATCTATGAAATCTGTGCGAAATTTGATGAGTTCCGAATTCGCCTGCTCCAGGGCCTTTTCGTAATTTCTAAAGAGAAAATTCATTATTTCATGAATAAAACCTATTTGACAACAAATCTGGAGTATAATTTAGAGACAAAAGTGTCTGATATGACGTTCTGCAAATTATTTGCTTTTTGAAATGCCATTCTAACTGTGCTTTTCTGAGCATAACTACAGCCTTTGGAAGCTGAATACCGGATCAAAACAACTCAACTTCAATATCTTTGGGCCAAATATGAAATGGGCGTTCAGAAGCCTTAAAGACAAAGTACACTGAGAGGAAAATGTGATTTAGAGGCGAATTAAACAAAACAGTTGAATAAACTAAAATGAAAAGAACACATGAATGGGACAATTTCTACGTTGTATATGCAGTTATTTTGACCTCCTAATGCTTAAATAAGCGCAACGAATGCTACTATATTATAGAGATTTCGTGTTGTACACAATTTGAAAAGCACCCATCATTAGCATCCGAAAATGCACTTTGATGTTATACGAGGCTTAGATATGGTCTTCAAAGTACAAAATAAGCGAACAAAAGGCGTGGCTGAAGAAGTCGTTCCCTAACAGAACCTCTTTGAAAGCGTAACTTAAGTTTTAAAAACGCTCAAACAGAGGCAATTAAAAGTATTCTGGAGATGCCCGAATCAGAAAATCGCCTTCTATCACTTCCACATTGGTCAAAATTAGTCAGTACGATTCGCTATCACTGTCATCGGATTTACACCGATGAACATCGGTCTTGCGTATTCTGACTGCCGGCTTATAAGCTGATGGCCGTTCAATTGGTAAAGAGAATCTTTTTGCTTCAAGTTCAATTCATATTCCACAAATACACAAACTCTTCCCTTAAAATTCGTCAAACTTACTTCAGGCTCCGCTCTTGTAAGGCGATGATTTTTGGTCACATTTACTACCCAAAGGTTAGATAAGAGTGTTTTAGACAAAAAATTCCCTATACCCATATTTCTTCTATCGATTTTCAATCTGTTATCCCATTTAGTCGAATCTGGGAATATAGAGTGAGTTATCGTGCTTTATTTAGTCTATTTGAGATTTTAATGGTCACACTGCAATTTATTTTAAACAAAGATATGAGTAGCTAGAAAACTTTGTTCCTCCCTAGGGGGAGGTAACTATGTTAGTAGCTTATTCTTAAAAGACAACACTTTGAAGCATTTGAAACATTGATAAACGAAGAGCAAAAAGTGATAACTCCGGTTGAATTAAGAGGTATACTTTGCAGACTTATCTTAGAAAAAATCTGCAGTTAATTATATAAATTCAGATTATTCTCAAAACACTGACGTTGTATTAAACCAATATCTTGACACTGACTTGCATGAAAATCATGATATTTCAATAATTTAGTAAAAGTTAAAAGTGAACACACAGAATTGTATTTTCTTCCTAAATAAGTCCTAAACGAGACATTTTACTACTAAATTTATAATACTTTCACCGTCATTTTCTGATAAACTTTATTGATTAAAAGCTACATAGCAAAATCCCTCGAGGATGAAGTAATATAAACCCGGAGACATTAGAGTACGTTATTCTACAACGGATAATGATTTGGACATTAGAGTTGAGTGAATCTCAAAGTGCAATTAATCCAAGTTGATATATATATATATATATATATATATATATATCCCTGTCGGCAAATTTATGCAAAATCAGCATATTATTGTTGTGTTTAATTACCCAACCATTATCTTCAGTTTGACTGGATCCTCAGCATCCTGATCCATTTGGGCTCTAACCATGGTTTCCATTTCATTTAGCCTAGAGTTCAAATCATTCACTTCGCTAATGAGCAATTTTCGGCCATCAGCTTCAAATGTATAGGCTTCTTCTTTCTGCTCCAATTCTTTCATCAATTTTGCTACCTGCATAGAAAAATTTCAGAGTCATTTTTTTAAATTAGATACATTGAATCTTTTTAAAGAGGAAATGGCTTATTCCTACCTTCTGGTTTAATTCAGTAGATTCTTGTTTCAACATCTCCACTTCAACTTTGTCACGGTCAATTTCTGACTTCAACCGATTTATTTCTAAACAATATCTTCATTTTCACTTCCACGTGTTAGCTTACCAGCATTTTCACGATTTTGCAACTCGCTAAGTCGCTTGTCTGCATCGAATGAAGACTCCCATAATATTTCCTTCAAGCAAAAGGAAGAATTTCAAATAAAAAGATTTAGTTATGCAGGCTGAATTTTAGAGGATATAAATTCTTATTTTTATCAAGTTATAAATTTCGTGAACTAATAGCTAACCTCCTGACTGATTCGGAGTCAAGTTGATTCACACTAGCTACAAAATTAGACTAACTAAATTTTATGCACTCACTACCTGCTCGTTGAAGACAATACGAAGAGGTAGATTTAAACCAATTTTGAAGTATGTGTGATTAATGACTAGCATTAATACCACTATCGAGTTTGGTGTGTCGTTGAAATTCCTATCGGACAGCCTATGCCAGAGCAATTTTGCACTCTTAAGAAATGGAAATGGAATTTAATAATTATAATTGTGCAGTAAAGGCATGGAGAACCAACGGGCACACCCAAGTGAGATTGGGACGTCGGAAGGACCCTAGTGCGTTTGAACTCTAGATCAAGGAATGAGAATATATCACAACACGCAATATTGTCTAACTTCCTAATTGAAGGGTGCTAATATTAGAAGAAATATGTTCACTTTTATTCAACTTCGAAGTTCGAGGTAACGTGCTAAGTCTCATCCACTCAGTGTCTTGGCTATCGCAGTCAAAGATGAAGTAGATGAGTCAATGAAGTTAATCGATTAGCCGGAGTGAATGAAAATACGCACTTTTTAAAAAGCGCTTGATTACATTAAGTGCCATAGCTAGGATCATGCAGAACGAAAGATAATAAAGCTCTATAATGGTAAGTCTGATAAAAATTTGTTTTCAAAAAATTGAAGCTTAGGAGAAGGATTTCATCTACTTCTGTATTGATCAGGATGAGATTGTAGTAGAACGCATTTTAGCTTTATTTTTCCTAGATACATATATTGACATGCATACTGACAAATGCTCGTTTATTAAACTTATGTGAATATTGGCTTTACACATTTTCGAATCCGCAGTGAAAACTAAACGGAAAGCAACTCATAATGCAAATAATCTAATCAAAGCCGAAAATGATTAAAATAGGGATTATAGGAAAATATACGTTTAAAGAAAGATGCAACAATAATATTAAAATAAACCACTTTTCTGGGGTTTGGATAAAAATAGCCTAATTCAACCGATCCTCTAAATCACTTCTGAGTAGATACTTCCATTCCACCACATTTCATGCAATGAAGTGACAATAAGCAGTCTTTCCACTATGCCAAATAAGAGGCTAATAAACTGCTCGTTTTTATTTAATAAAGTAGATTTTTAAGAAATTGGTTTTACCTTTATCGGTAATATTTCTTTGATAGTCTGCTGCAAATGATTTATATATCCTTCATATTGATTTTTAATCTTGGCCAACAGAGGTCCATAATGATTGCATTCACTAATAAATTGATAGAAAATTTCCCCAAAGAGCTGAAATGAGATTGTTCGAAATAAGAGTAGTGATTAATTTGGAAAATATTTCACCTTAAAAAAAATATAACCTGTTGACGAAGAGGATTGGAAACGTCATCAGTGATCCCGAATTTGTTTACATCATCTTTCATTTTATTCTCAAGCTCTATCAAGAATTTTGGCTTCGAATTTGGTGTTAATCCTTTAAATAAGAAAAAAATCACTCTATGGTTGAAATAAAAAATTATTGTAAACATCATAATTTGTCTTCTTCATTTGTTTTTCAAAAATACTTCGATTATAAACGAGCATTTCTTGAAGGTAAATGAATGATAAATGCTATATTCTTTTATTCCTAAACTCATAGAATTTGAAAGAGAAGATTGTTACGTAATTTCATGTATTTTGATATGTATAGTATAGAATAAAAGCTAATGTGAATTCGTTCATCCAAAATCTCACGCAAAATTGAAATTTTTTAAAATGAAGACCATTTGATCAAGATCAGCTGGTATCTATTTGGCTATTTTAAAATATAAAAGAATCTGGATGAGCATCACTATTCCAAAAATTTTAACTTTCTCCATGTCTTCTATAAGCGCTATCGAATCAGTTTGTCACGAATACTAAAATCTAAAGAACTTTGGGACCAAACTTCTATTCTGAAATCTACATATCAGCTACAGCAAAAAATGGAAGACAGTCTCGTGTGCTTTTGATGTAGATAATGAATGACCCTTTTATTTACCTACTTTTAAGCAAATCACTTATCCTTTTATCTATTCGCCTTTGAACCCGCCTTTGAAGGATAGCATGTTGCTACTTATATGAAGTAAGCTCACTTTAATCTAACTGTTATGGAAGTCTAATTAATATGTAATCTGCGTTCCTTTTGATCAATGTGATTGTGAATAAAGCTTTATTTGTCGGTACTGAATCATTCCTTCTGGTCTAGTAAGGAATTTTCGATTTTCTGCAACAATTATCATAAAAATTTTAAATTTTATCACATATACTCCATATTTAGATAATTTGAATCATTCCATTTTCTTTCTAATGATTTTGTCCAAGCTAGATTTTCCACTGTCGTTAGGTGGACTGTTTTCGTAACTCAATGTTTTACTAAGTAGAGATTTCAATATTTGCAGCAATATGCAAGGTTGTCGCTTATGCTTACATAGGTGACAATTTCAAATGGATAGCATCAGGCATATTAATTCTCAAACACTAGAATTCAATATCTTGGATTTAAATATTGTGATATATAGTTAAAACAACTGGAACAGGACATTTATAACATAATGAGAAGACAGAAGACATTTGTCCATTTAAAAGAGGAATACAATAAATCTTTGAGTAGTGTATCAGAAATCTTATTGGGAAATTTCATCGGTGCATTCAATAATACATCATTCTAAAACAAGTTTGATAGTAATTCACTTTCGGATCGATGTAGATCCTGTTAAGTCTGTACATTTCATATATTTACGGTAATTCCATCCAAACGCATTTCTAGACATAGTATGTGAATATGCTAATATTCTAAGACCTATTTTGAAGCAGTACATTTGGAATAATATGTTGCAATATTAGTATTATAACCAAAATTTTTAATATTAGAACGATATAATAACTGACGCAATCCTAATTTGATCAAAAGATAAGTGGCAACAAAAGAGGAACAACTTGTTTTTTTAATTTAGTTAGTATTTAATGAGAAACGGCATACTTGGTTGTGTTCGATTGGAGTTATCAGTCTAAGATGAAATGCAACATTACCAATAGGTAAATCTGTTCCTGTGAACTCAATTTAAACAGTTAAACTTTACTTACGCAAAATAATTCAGATAATGGAAATTGAAATAATTCATCATTATTTTGATAGATATTATAAACTGGATCTAAATTAGCCTTTAGAGACTTATCACGAATTAAAATCGTTGTACCTTCACAAAAAGTGTATTCCTTGATGCCTTTTTAGAAATAGTATATGAGCGATCACAATGACGTGTCTAAATGAAATTAACAACGGTTTTAGATAAAAGTAATGACAAAACAATTACGACTAAGCCTTAGGAATTAATTCTTTGCATAAGTAAAATATCTATTTACCTATGATTAAAAAATATTATTATGTTTTGAGCCTACTGAATAAGTTCATCTAAATGTTTAATCTTACATCATTATTATGTCCCTTCATTTCACATTTGACAATAACCTGTTCTCGTGGGTCATAATTAAAGCGGTCAAACAAATTTAATGTAATTTAAAATTACTATTTATTGGTATTAAAAATAGTATATTCCATTAGTGATATTTTAAATCAAGAATAAATAAACATAAATAATATTTTATGTTTTACATAAAATAAAAATTGTGCAATTTTGTTTTAATTACTGTAGCATTTGCTCTTTTGTTTTCCAGACTTATATTTTTACTCCCATCTTCATGTCTAAGTGAAAATTTGTCAATTGCACATTATTCACTTTCAAAACTTTTACGGTTTGGAAATACTTTATTGATTTGTTTTGAAATTTTATTTAAGGTAATACGAATTTTCTTAAGAAGAGGAAAAGAATTGCCAATATCTTCCTTCAGTCTAAGTTAGTTAAATTTCTCACCACACTAATGGTAAAAGCCTGTTTCCATTTCCGCTTGGGAATAATGATGGGTAATGAAAATGCCTGCAGAAATATGTTTTAGCTCGTTCTCTCAATATCTGAAGGAGCTGTGTTATATCAATATACCTTCTAGCCTCGAATGGAGTGAACTTCAGTATTCTTTACTTAGTATTACGCAAGAGTTATGAAACTCATAAAACCACCAAAGTGATTGCGAACAGGTGATAAATTGCACTCTAGTGATCATAAATCTCTATAGATTTCAGACATCTCTCATCTAATAACACCACGACGGAATTCTTCCCTTTCTTCTAAATTTCAAGTTAAATTTACTTAAAAATATAGGTAATGAATAAATTGATGCATCCTGATTTTCGCAAACATGCTTTGACTATATATGCTTATATCATGAATGGTATGTAAATGAAATAATGAAAACATGAAAATATAAGTTACATACAAAAGTTATTTTAATACAAAAATTCACATGGTATTAGTATACAAAGCTAAAACACACTTCGAATTCAGAAATGTAATGATATCGCACCAATGTCTGCAATATCGTCCATGATCTGAAAAAAATACAACGAGGAATTTATGTATGAGACATAATTTTTAAAAAAGAAATATGCCCAAAAAGTGATTACTTACCGACTGTACACTCTGGCCAGATTTCTTTGCCACTTCAATTTTCACATCATGGGGAATTAGGAGATATCTTTGGATTAAATCTCCATCAATCACGTTTCCGCATGGATTGGTTAATGAAGGGATATTGTAATGATATTGGCTAAAGCAGGTTTCAAAAACAATCAAGTCTTTTATGAAGTATATTTGTCTTGACGGATCAATAAGTGAACATTTAATCATGGAGAATCATCTAATCGTAGAGAGCAGACAAGTCGTGCAACAAAGAGATGAAGGAGAACATGGTAATAGAAAATGGGATAGGAACACAAAGGAATTCGATTACTTGATTTTGTGCTCAGCAGGTTGTCACCGTTTTGTTTAAAGGTTATAGTACATAAACCTGATACAGCAAAGCTCGAATTTCAGAAATCAACCCCTAGGTTTTCGAAGGAGTTAAAATCTTAAAATGACTTAAGCAGTCGGTCATAAATTTGCCAAAGTATTAACAATTCAAAATCAAATTTTAAAAATACTGACTCACAATCCCCTTGGCTAAATGGTTTACTAAATAAGCGAAAACCAGTGAATCCACGTGAACGAAGTACTATTTGGGATTAAAAAATATAGTAACTTTGGCAAAAATTAATGAAACATTGAAGGCACTACGCTTTTGGAACAGAATTACTATATATTTATTTTCCAACACATTTTGAAAGTTGAGTAAGACAGCCTTGATTACCCCTATTCAAATCATTTGAACTTCAAACAATAAAGTAAAGTATGTGGAAAATTAAAACATACTTACCGACATGCACGAGGAACTAGACCAGCATTAGAACTGACAAAGTTGGTGATATTCTTCTCCACAATACCCAGGCGAGTAAAAGTTTGCTGACGAATCGGGGTTAAAACGAAGATGGCTCCACTCCGAGTGCCTAGAATTTAAGTGGAGACTTAAGGTAAAAGATATATTTGATCTCCGCATTTGCGAATTAACACTAAAGTGATAGTGGATTTATGAGAAATGATTAGATATTTGTGTCACCTTTGATGGAGAATGATTTGATTTCTGGCTTAAGTTTCACCACTTCTCAAAACAAGAAGGAATTGGCTACACCACTGATAAAGTGAATATGGTAGGCTATTTGAAATAATTAAGTTATCTTGCCTTAAGGGTTTGAATAACTGGTCAAATGTCTTTATTATATCTGCCTGCTTCGATACATGATTGAAACTTCTAACTATACAGCTACCAATCAAAAGCATGAGGTGGCTAGACATACATTACAAAGCCACTTTTCTATCGAAATACCGAAAGGAGAAGCAAGAAGGAGAAAGCACGTCTATTTGAGGTGGAAACAATAAGTGGCTAAAGTTGTTCGATAAGTCCGATATAATTGATGGGCAATCCAATTTGTCAATTAGTGAGCACTGTCAATTTGTTAAGTGAAAACAGCGTGACTCTTTTAACCAAACTTTACCGCCAGTTCAGGTGATACGAGTTTCGACTTAAGTTTCCTAAACCCATAAATCTCCGAAAGATAACTTCCCTCCAAAATGCAAGAAAAAGCTATCCTTTGCAGGGGAACCTGGTTATTGTCTACATTTCTAGCTTTTGCTTCGGCAAAAATTCCAGGGCTTGCATTGAGCTTATAGATATGATATAAAGAAACTTACCAAGATAAACCGAGTGTCGAGCTCGCTCATACTCCAACATAGCAGAAAGTCCCGAACCACCGACGGGCTTATTGGTTTTCTCTTGATTTTTCTTCATATCACTCAGCTCAGTTTGTAGAGCCTTGATGGAGAGCAAAGGATGGCGAAAACGGTTGCCAACACGAAGGGAGGTCGTGGTAACTGAGGGTAAGCGTACATCCACTCGACGCACTAATCGCTGACCGTGGCGAGAGGCTAGTTCCATTGGCTCGTAGAGGTAAATCATCACGTTACCAATCTCATCAGTCACTGCAAATGGTGAATAATCATATTCAGGACATGATCCATAGACTTAGAGATGACATGTCTTAAGCAGATCATATTTCGTCGAATAGGAACAATTTAAGAGAGTGTTTGGGAGAAACAAATGTTAGGAAGGAGACCAGGACAAGAGTTTACCTTGAGCCAAATTAGCGTGCTTAGATTCCACATTTCAGCTAAACAGGAGCTCTCCCATGGGAAATTTACTCCTCGTAGCAACAGATGAATCTCAACTGAATTTTCGACACTGAAGAATACTTGAGGGGGAAGCGTGCATCAAGTCCATAAACCCCAATTAACTTTATGATCAATAACCAAATTTAATTTTCTTTCAAATAATCCTGTCATAGGGGACAGGAGAAATTCCCACTAGATACCGATTTAACACAAGAAAGGAAGTAAACATTTACCGACGTAGCCCAATTTCGTTCCATCAACGAAAAAATTGGCAGCGAATGCAACTTGGTAATCAAAGTCCCGAGACACAACCGAAAGCACTTGCATATCCACCTGGAATCGTAGAACATGGATAGAACTTTTCACGTCCACAGCCAGAATAATGTTATTTGCCGTCATGAGGGAATGAATGTAAACGTTAGTATCAACGAAGGCAACACCCTCCAGGTCACCATTCACTAGATTCCAGATGTAGATCTAGAAAACAGAGAAAAATAATGATATATGCTATTATGCAGAGATGCTTCAAAGTCAGCTTATTTAAACAATAATTTATAAATTATAATCTATAGAAGGGTGAAGATTAGATGGCACAATAGCTGGAAGACTTGAAACTACTATAGCAAGAAACAAACAAGGGATATCTTACCTTTTGCCCAATAGCTGAGAGGAGGAAACCTTGACAACTGGCCAACGCAGTGACAGGTCCCTTTTGGTCACCATCATATACCGTTTTTACCTTGTGTTGAGTGAGCTGTTGACCCGGTTCGGGTACGACCTCAATGATATCAATCAAAACAATCCTCCCACGAACAGGAATCTCCTCACCATATGACATATTTGCTCCAATTGCTAGATAATCCTTGGTCTCGTTAAATGTTAGGTCAGAAGACAGTTGTACTGTCGTTAGAGTTGATACAACTTCGAACTGCTCAAATTCCAGTCTACAAAATAGAAAGAGACATTAATACGATCGAATATACTTAACTACTAATATAGAATAAGTAGTACTACTAACGTAGAATTGGGGACAAGTTCGTAGGTCGGGCCGGTACATAAGTTGGCTGATAGCACAGGAGCGAGGACTTGCATCTTGTAGCTTTCGATCTTTGGTAAAAGACAAGTGGGTGGACGGTTTACTTCCTCCTCCTCTTTGAGACCTTCATTGGTTAATTTGACTACTGTGCAGCAATCCACTTCCTTGCACGTTATAACCACATAAGTCTACAATTTTTTTACAAATGAAGATCGGAACTCTATGTATCAGTGCCAAAAAAAGTTTTCTTTAGATACCTTGCTCTTGTTGTGATATTGGACGAAGTTGGGTTTACCTTCGAGGGGAATTTGACCGATCCCAACTTCGCTTTCGTAGGAGTAGCCGGGCAGGAGAGTTGCCAGTTTCATTTCATTCTAGACAAAGATGATTATAAGACCGCTATTTTACCGACTTATCGGTTTTAACATTTGTAATATTGTCCAATTAGCATTTTTAAAAACACATTATCTGAATTAGCGAGGCATTAAAAATAATAATATAAATTATAAGACACAAGTTAAACTAAAATGCAATAAAGTAATGGAATATTCTACAATTTTAGAACTTTTGAATTCCCCTTTACCGTACAATCTCTAGTACCAAAGTTAGGCAAATAAGTTAGGCCCAAAAATTCATTTGAAAGAATGTGTATCGGCCATAGAGCTCCTTATTAAATAGGTATTAGCTGAAAACACACTCATCCTGTGTTAACGGTAAATTCAATAAACTGGCATTTAGGAAAGTGACGAGATAAAATGAAGCTGATTGGAAGGCTCTAGCACTAAAGGAATCGAATATCTAAACGGAATATTCGCTCAAATTAAAAAAAAGTTTCGAAACTAGAACTGAATAAACTCGTTTTTTTAAAGATGAATGCAACAAATAAAGTATGAATAACAAAGGATTTGAAGCAGAGCGAATATATATGCAGGACCATATAGCGTCGATAGACCAGTGTCTGAAATGCGCCGGTCTGCTATCCCCGTTGATATAGAGCCAATAAAGTCGATGGCCATGTCGTTGGTTTAATCCAGTCAACAACATAGCAGGTAAATGTGAATTCCTCGCAAAAATGGCCAAAGGGTGCCTTTCTTCCACTTAAATCAAGAATTGTAAACGCTTAATCAGGAGCCTTAGGGAGTTCATAACTCTGTCATATACTCACCGTCCATACTTCTTCGACAATATTATAAATAGAATTTAATGCATGAAATAAACATCTTACCGAATTTGTGAAATACACGAATCCATCCGGACAAGATTCTACGTTAAGAGGCGAAAAACTGGAGATGATACCATCGATAGTGTGTGGAAAGACATTGATCCGTCCAAATCGATTGCAAAACATCCACACAGGATAGCTTCCACAAATAAAGACACCCCGATGACCACCGATTTCCTCGAAAGTATGCATGATGTTCATTTTGCCCATCATTTTTGCCTAGACGGAAGAAAAGAAAGCATTTCAGAGAAGCGACTTTGAGTGGCAGTCTACACTTGATGAAGTGCATTTACATGGATATCAGCCACACGGGGGTCAGAACGGAGTCGATTTGGCATTAAAAGAGGGCAAATAACAGGCATACGTCTCCAACGCAAAGGGCTCTGGGTAGAATGCGACGAATTTAAATTTGATGTTGGCACTGGAATTGGTGCTAGAGGAAAAGCTTCATCGGCTGATGGACAAAGGGCCTCGTAACATACCACTTCACGGTCAGTTCTCACCTAAATGAAGATAAGATATTTCGATAAGTATTTCAATAAGGAATAGATGAAGTCTGTAAATAGGCCATTAAACCAGTTGTTAAAGAATACTATGCTCTCAGATGTTTATCCAGACCTAAAATATACCAGATACACACTTTAAATCAAGAATCGAAACAACTTGGGACTTGTTAACTTGTTTAAGTAAGTCAAGCCATTCCGTTTTCAGTTAGTTTTCAACCCTTCGTGCTAATATGGAAATCAAGTCGAATAAGGCCAATCATACCGATTAGAATCAATATTTGTATTTAATTACTTCAACAAAAAATGTACAGGTAGCACTAGCAGCATATCTCAACACTTATTTTGGGCCAGGAGCCATTTATGGAAAAATCATACTTTGCAACCCAACTATCGCCCAATTTTTAAACAAATACGGTTGGTTCCGTAGCTTCGAAGAGGAGTTCAGAGACTGTAACTTACAACTTAGCACAAGACCATATTGACCGCTACAGCACGGGCACACACAAAAGAAGTTAAAGAAGTACAATAAAAATATAACTCACAAGCAATACAGGTCGAGCACGGTCTTTGGTTAGAGTGGTTAATGAAAATTCCCGTATGGATGGTGCAAAATCATCAGGCATCATTTCTTCTCTACAGGGCAAAAAGGAAACGAATTCTAAATGTAACACATCCAATTAATGATTCATAACACACAAAAATGAACGAACTTATGTTCTATAGGTTTGTCCACTACCGGCAGACCCTTTGAATCCGTAAGAATTTGAGGGAGATCAACGAAGTTGCGTACCTCATACAAACACTTGAACTCCGGTATGCTGTAGATCTGAGAAAAAAGATAGAGCCAACGGTTAAGTATATAAAATTGATTTTGAAAGTGGACGATGTTGGAAAAATAATAAAACTCTCACCTCAAGCACGCCATTTGAGAAGTAAACGAACGCAAGGTAAGGAGAAGCCGAATCCTCAGAATGGCTCTGTCTAAAACCAGAAGAATGGGGCGGATGTTACGATGCATATCATGCTTACAGAAGCTGCAACAGCAATATACCTAGCAGTACTGCTTTAAAAACTTGAGACCATCTATCAGTGACAGCCTGTCACTAGTGATTTGGCAAATTAAGTTTACAAACTTACTCCTTGAAATTATCTCCGTATTCAGATGTGCTCATCCGCTTGGACATAATTTGATCATAACCTCCCTCTCGTTTGACAGTATCCAGGATATGTCCATAGAGTAAAAGATCCTCTTTATCCACAGTACTCAAGACACTGTCTGCCTTATTCATAACAGCATTATTCTCTCTATCCCTAGGATCCCCAAACACGTGGCTAGAGAGGCTGGAAGACGCAGAACCATCAAGCCATTGAGAAAGCCGCCCAGCAACATCATGATATAGGTAGAAACAATTCAGTGGTGAGATCTATGGAAAAATAACGGCAGTAGCGAGTAATAAGAACAAAGCTCCATTTAAATAATTGATCGGGACATTTAACCTATATTGTATCTCATCTAGAGAAATGACATCAGATATTTTGATTAATATCAACAGAAGTTACTCCGTATTGAACTCATATTACAATTGTCCTCCACAGCAGTTATTTTACATGTAAAGGACCCAGAAGACCAAGAAAGAACATACCGCAGCTAGATCAAGTTGCGCCATATCGCAACTGATTAAATAGAGAAACTAGTAGTAGGTAGAGATAGGGTTATATTCATAACCACGATTAACTCTGTCATAATCAAAATACATTCAGAGTGGAACAGCGTTTGTAATCTAGACAGAATGAATGGTAAGTATCCAATTTGCAAATATGCTTTCTTAAATTATGATCGGAAGATAGGACCTTCTATTAAATCTGAATGTTGATATCTGCAGGAACATGCTAAGTTACCTACACAAGCTATGAAATTAGGAAATAAAATAACTGATGGAACATAAAATAAGCACATGTAGGGAACGATGCAAAGACCGTCAAGAATGCAAAGCAAATGAGGTGACAAATTCCATAAAAGACTACAAAATGTTTAAGAAGTTGTGGTCAAATGGTTCTATCATTAGAACTGCAAGAAAAGCATCAAGTGTCAAGTGTTCTCAAGTTCCTTAATCTCAATCAATCTGGAATTACTTCTTCAACATGTAACGTTATGTCTGTCTTAAATGTGTATTATTATAATTAAATTACCTGAGCAACTTTGAGTCTGGTGAGACTGAAGTACTTTGAAGTGGGAAGATTATCGGAGGACGTAGAAAGGACAACTTGAGAAGAGTTTGAAAAATGCTTTGAGGCACCATCTTTGCTGTTGGGGTCCTTCAAAGCTAGTAGAATTAGATCTTCATCATAAGTGTTGATGAGAACGTAGGGGTCTGCAACTCTGGCCATGGTGACTCGAGATTCTGCAGTGAGATGCAATTCCTCGATCAAGTGGGGACCATTTAACAAACGAATAGAAGTTGGACAAACCTAAAAAAGAGGAAATCGATATTAAATTGTAATTATTTATTCGAAAATGAAATGAATTAAAAGATATGCAATGAAAGGGCGACGAAAAGTAGACTAAAAGTCATAAAAGCCATAAGTGAGTGAGAACAAGTAGTTTTGGCAGAGAAGCCACCTCGAAGCTGCCCGTTTTCTATTGCTCCCCTTGTTGGCCTTAAGTTATAAGTGCAACTGACTGTCCACAACACCGGATGGGTACCGATGAACAATAATCTAGTGAACCCTAACTTGGAAGACGTACACGATGGCGATTGCGGAATCGATGCATAATATTGAATAGTAATTTAGGAAATTCACCTGGAGTATGTAAGGGTAATCCACTCCGACCACATATTCCCTGCTCTCATTTTTCACGGTCGACAAAGGTAAATGTTGATAAGGAAGTTTTTTCAGGCATTGAAGCCCCAAATTAGCAGCAATCACGGTTGTTTCATTAGTCTTGAATCCGCTTACTTCCAGCTCCACGATTTCTTTGCCAATCTCAAGAACCTGCAAGAACCAAGTCAAAATGACGTTATAAACTACCTTTGATTGGTACATAGGGTAATGATTTATTATAGCATATTTGTTTAACACACCATAGAGGAATCATCTCGAGTTAGTAGAAGAAAACTGTGTAGAGGAGAGTCTGTGTGCGAATTGGGAGATTTGGAGACGTCTTCTGACGAATTATCTACACAGATGTAATATTTCTAATTATAAAGCATTTTCCACTGACAAAATCGATATTTCGTCCTATACTTCACTTTGCTTTGAGTGATAATGGCAGACATTGCAAAAAATGTCGGAGCCTTATGAGCTGCGTTTGACTCTAGAGATGTTGAGTGTTAGATCCTTGACAACTGCAAAATTCGCATTAATTTGCTACTCTAGATGTGTGAATTTTACCTTTATGATCCCGGTTCCCAATAGGTGACCATTCGATATCCAAATCTCTGCTAACACACACTTACTGAGTTACCACACTTAGCTAGATATGAGGATTTTCTATCCTTAATAGGAAAAGAGAGGTTCATAATTTTAGCTACATGGAAGTACAGTTGAAGAAAATGCTGGAAGACCGTAGTTCTCTTAAGTTCATTGCTCATGGCTGAAAGGGCAAGTAGGCAGCATCAGTGGATTCGACTGGCCACACATTCACTATTATCATTAATGTATGTAGTGGGGAAAAATAACTTTATGCACTCGTCATACCTTCAAAATCATGAATTGCATCATTTTTAGTCATCTCTTCAACAACTTCAACTCCTTTCGTGCAGTCCTGCAGTTCTTGTCGCACTTCGTCGAGTTGGTTCAGCATTGCCACTGGTGGTCCATAGAGCGACCAGAGGCTATCATACTCTGGTAACTCAAAGGTATTCAGTCCCCGAGCTCGAACACTTTGATGTAACTGGTAAAGTTTCGAGTTGCCCACCTTCTTATCTGCACAGATGAGTAACTCTGTGTGAGCTAGTTCCAACTGAGCTTGAGTCAAGGCCTCATCAGTAGGGTCGGTCTGTCCTGCGGTTAGGTAAGGAACCTCGCCACAAGAAATGCTGCGTATGGGACCGATGTTCAGGAAACTATCCAACACCTGAAGTGTACCGAATAACATTAATTTTTTGGGGCCGTTTATAAGAGATCACCAATATGCTAGAAAAAGGGATATAAAGATGTGGGTAACAATCATTTTTATACGAATGGTGACGGATCTATTCAAAAATAAAAGATTACCGTTCAGGGGCAAGGAAGCGACATCCTAGTCCCCCTCATAAGATTTTCACTAGCAAGATCAAAGATCGCCTTGGATCGACTTCGTGAACTTTTATTTTGGTGACATGTGGGTCGACTACTATGTCACTGGTTGCACATAACCGTTTGGACGGAAATAATTCTCCAACAACGTCAAATCCTCATCCCCGCAAGACATACAAAGTAACGCAATGACTATCTGAATAAAGCATTAACTTTATCGGTCGTTTATACAGGAAGAACAAAAAAATCTCGTGGAAACCCATTCCATGAACAAAATTCCTGCTTTATTGAGACAAAAAACAACTTAGCGTGACTCTGGAGAATATATATTCAGAAGAGGTCACATATTGACTAACAGAGACAACATTAAAAATTCCCCTCCTACTCAAAATGGCTCGTCTCCAAAGCTATCCCATCATGGGATATCATAAAAGAGCAGGAACAAGGAAGAACGAAAAAGCGAATAAAGATGTATCTTACGGAGCCAATATTTTTTAAACTATCTAGTTGTATTGCCATCCTAAGAAGCTAAAGTGATATATGTAGGAAAACCCCGTTTTTAATATAAATTAAAGCATTCATAAACGACAAATGGCAATAACTAACTGCCTTAGTATTTGCGTCCCATGAGAGAAGAGAATCTTTCAATTGAGCTATGAACCAAATAAATTTATAAAAAAGGGGCAAAAAAATAGCGCAAACAATATACTTCAATGTCAATCTCAGTAAAGACTATTTGAAGTAAACAGATTTATTCTTAAGGTTGACTTTCTGATACAAGACACGTAAAATCAAACTAACCTTAAATTCATACTCGTTGACTTGAAACAATCGTGTAGATTTAGAAAATGCCTCTGGCCCATAGAGTTGAATATCAATCTCATCAATAGTCAGTTGCATATCATCACTTTCTGATACATTCATATCTAGGCAACGACTTTCACGCTCTGCGCGTTCAGTTGCCGAATCTGCACCACCTTCTTCTTCGTCTTCATTTTTAGCTTTCGTTAATGCAAGCGAATTCTGTGTAACCATTTTTGGAGTCATGCTAAATTGCAACAGAAGAGAATCTGAAAGGCAAGATCCTATAAAAAGCCTGTTATCGCCCAGATAAGTTATCTGAAATAAGAAAAATGATCTCTATAGTACCTGTATCCCTACTTCACACAAAATAGGCAGCAAAAGAGGGACCTACACTTTCTGCAACCGTTAGGGAAGAAACTTTGGAGAGATGGAGATCAGTGACGGTGTTGTTGGCCTTTTCGAGCAATAGCGTGAGAATATAAGCAGTACCATCTCGAGCTATTACTAAAATTTCATCAGGTGAAGGTAAAAGAGAGGCATAACATCCATCTAAGGCAAGAGGTCCGCAGGCTGGCACATCTTGACCTGTTTTTAACAGAACAGCAAACTTTAAATCTCAGAAAAAGAGGGGATGCGACAGAAATAAATATGCAAACTAACTGAAAGGGAAATTAGTAGAGATTTTGGAATAGTAATTGAGAGGTAAACCTCTTGAGGGTAAAGTCTGCTTTAGATAAATGATTGAATTGGTTGCGAAGACGACAACACCACCTGAAAACATTGATTGAAGGGGCAAAAATAAATTTACCGATAGGCATTTTAACAGAGAGGATAGTGTGGCAATCGTATGGCAGTGATTCTTGAAACCAAATCACAGGGTTTGCTCGCTCTTGGAGGTTAATTGACAAGGCCACGATGCAACATGTATCTTTCCTCGTAGAAATACGACTATAAAGAGAGAAAACAATTTTCTTGGCCAAAAGATACCTACCCAGACCAAGTTCTAAAGGGTTCGTAAAGAACAAGAAGCGTTGGTTCGTAAAAGCCATAAAGGAAATTCATATCTTTAACTGAGTTGATCATTTCTCCAGTAGAAGTGCTGAGATATGTGGTATAGGTAGAGAGTATGGGAGCTGAGCCCTTACTTTGCCAAGAAAATTCAGCACCCTCGTCATTTTGATGCTGTGTGTTAATAAGAGAATCGACTCGACGAAACGGCATAACAGCTAGAAAACCCTCATATACTGGAGTAACTGCACATCGTTGAAGTGGATCAACACGAATAACTGATAGTGAATTGAAATGCGTTTTTCCAAACTATTTATAAATATCATTATTATTTAAGGACAAAGCAACAAACTTTAAGCGAAGGGTGTTGGTAGGCATGCAAACATATGGTCTTGAACTCGTATGAATTTACATCAAATGTTACAACCGAAACCTAAATGTTTTGAAGTAATGAAATAAAAATACTTTCGCTTCTTGAAATCTGATTATCAAAGAATCTAATTGATCACCGCAGAAACGGACAGCTGCAATCGACTTGACCTCGTCAAAAAATGAAGTTCCTGTAACATAGCGGAAACTCTCGAGACCGCTGAAAGTAAATCTTTTGAACATGAATTACCAATCAACAATAATAGCATAAATTTCTATTGTATTGCCACGCACTACAACGAGATTTTTTCGATTCGGGTGCAAGCAATTACAATATATGCTGTGTGATACCGCTGTAGGTGGAACTACTTGTTTGAAAAATGTGGAGAAATTCGTTAGCCTTGAATCCATCACGAAACATGCAACACGAAGGTTAACTTAATGAGGCTCTCCTTTTACGACTAGCATTGAAGGCCGGTCAAATAAAAGAACGCTTTTTCCTATGCAAAAGAACAAGTAAAATAAATTGGAATTTTGAGTTTTTGATAAATTTTAGCTTATTTTATGGGTTTTAGATTTAATTGGTGCCTATAGACTATCAAGTTACATTTTTTAAAGTAGATGTTGTAAATGCAATTTCTTCTATTAATAGTTCTATATTTTGGAACCATGAAACGTTTTTTTCTTATTTTTAGATGAATGCTATTAATTCATTCATGCTAATGTTTAAAGTTATTCATTGATAGTAAATATGTTTTCTTTAAAAGCGGTTTGCTCGTAAGTAAAAGCTTCTCTTCGTTTTCAGAATTCAAGGTGAAATTGGAAGTAATAACTAATCATGTGGTCCTGACTTTCCTAATGGTTGTGTACATCGTTTGTGGTTACTTTCTTATATTTTTCAATTTTAAACAGAAAGCTTCAAAAATAGGCATTCTTAGATTGATTTTTTAATTAGACATAAGTGAATTCGTGTCAATGCATATTTTCCAATCATGATGTGGACCTTTGAATCCAATGAGCGAGAAATATTAATTCAACTAGAAAGTCGAAACCGGTTATTGTAACAGATTTGCCTACATAATGAGATTCAATAAATGATTCTTAAATTAAATTATTAACTTTTAAAATTTACTAACTTTCAAATCAGTGACCTAGCGTGCTTTTGGAGATAGCCCATCATGCACTCGATTGCGAGCTAATAATATGATGAGCTAAAAATTTCATTCCAAGTGAAGAGCATACATTATTTACCATATCTAACGGATCGCATTGCTAAAGTTAAAAATTGTTCGTTTTTTCAATTTGAATGCGCGTTGTTTAATTCTCCAAAATATGTTTGATGGTTTTTTCGCAAAAAATTGAGACAATTAACAACCTAATAGTTCGAATTTGGTTACCACAACTGCTTCACTAACTTTGCTTTGAAACAGACTAATCAGACAACAAATTTTAGTGTTGACTAAAAGGGTAGATTCTCTCCTTTTATTCTCTCACATGCTTTGTATTTCATGCACTTAACTTTCTTAAGGCCCTTTATTTCTGGATTTCCTAATATTAAAGGTGTTTCTTAATTGATGCATTTCACTACCAATAACATAAGCGCATTTAACATGTCGGGTTTTTTCTTCTTCATGTCTCATTGCAACTGAGTTCTTCTCTTACAAAAGAAACATCATAAACCAGCATCACTGTTTATGCACACTCATAAATTTAATGAAACTCTTTTAAAACTTTGGTAAAAGGAATGCAAATATGCTAACAAATTATTTCTCTAATATCTTCTTCGCTAACTGATTAGTGGATTGCACTATGCCTGAGGCATTACAAATGATAATATTAGCTTTCAACCTAATTCATATACATTGCAGTTAACTTCAGATTCAACAATATGGATTTAATATTTTTCCCCTTTCAAGAGATCCATCAAATGCTTACTATTTAAATCTACACGATAAAAATTATGGCAAGCAAGAAACAAGTAGGAAAACAAAATTAACAGGAATGGAGCGGATTAATTTAGCGAAGCATCAAAGAGGTGATATTAAAATAATTGATTAAGCTTAACAATTATTCGTTGAAAGTGATTTCATTAATGAGCTTCTTACAGATAAGACAAATTAAAAATAATTCGCAAGAAATAAACAAGATGTATGTATTGTTGAAAGATGGATATAGAAGCTAATTACCAGGGTCGCTGAAAGAAAATAATGGTAAGAGAACAAAAGGCGTTGGATAGGAGCCTCTGTTTGAGAAGAGCTGTCAGGAAGAAATGACTACAGAGTGGGCAGAGTTGAGGTGTAAGAAAACAAGATAAATTTGAATCTGGTTATTGTAGAGATTACACCATAGCATCAAAGATAATCTGAAGACAACGGTAATTTTTAGAGAAAAAGGAAGAAATTCATTGTAATAGCAGATACCAATAAGTGACCATTAAGGTTTTAAAAGAGCACAATAGAAAGATTGGAATAGTAGGAATATTCATGATAATTTATGGATAATACTGCCATACGCAATGAAAATCCACAAATGATTTTTAAAAGTATCTCAAAATAGATTTAAGTAGAAGCCTTGAAAATAACCATGGAAAACGCACGTCTTATCTACACATTATCTCAACCTTAACCAAATGATAGTCTTCAAATAGACATAAACATCTTTTAACGGAGGTAACTATCCTCGAGGTGATTAAGTTTGAAATATTCATATCACAAATATTATTGCATCCTTTAGTAAAACCTCGGCGACTTGATATAAGAAACTGGATGTAATATATATATATATATATATATAATAAAGTTTAAGCAGATATACAATCCAAACTAGATATCTAACATTAATTTCAGGCGCTATTTCATAGAAAATTTCAGAGAAGGGAAATATTTCAAACTTAAAAAATTATTTCAATCATAAAATTATTCAAGGATTGAATCTTCTCTAATTCAAATGATATCCCTCTAACCTTCAATCTCTCTCGAGCGCAACATCCAAAGTAGACGATTGGAATGTCTATCCCGAGCCTTAAATCGCGTGATTTCGAAATACCCTGCTTAGGATTTGGAACTTATAAGGCATTTAAACGTTTTTATTTCTTACTTCTGATTAGCTTGCGGCTGAAGATGTTGTTCCAGCACTCTCTGCTGCCCTAGAGGTTGGATATCGTCATATTGACTGCGCTCACTTGTATCTCAATGAAGAAGAAATCGGAAATGCTTTGCAGTGTTGGATAAAAAGTGGAAAACTAAAGAGAGAAGATTTATTCATCACATCAAAAGTACTTTTCTATTCTTACTCATTTTTAAGCTTTGGAATACATACCACAGACCCGACTTGGTCAAAGGAGCTTGTCTTAAAAGTATGGAGAGATTAAAAGTGTCTTATCTCGATCTTTATCTCATTCATTGGCCAGTTGCTTATAAGGTATATTGCTTTATCACTTATTAAGTTGCATAGTCTGGTGATGATCTCCTCCCAGTTTGTGAAAATGGCAAAACCTTATTCGATAAAGGAGACATTGTTGCTACCTGGAAAGCTATGGAAGAGCTAGTAAAAGAGGGCTTGGTTCGCCATATTGGACTTTCTAATTTTAATGAAGCTCAAATTCAACGCATTTTTGATGAAGCCACAATCAAACCCGTTGTGTTGCAAATTGAAAGCAATCCACACTTTCCTAATCATAATTTAATTAATTTTGCAAAGAATCACGGTATCATTTCAACTGCGTATGCTCCCCTTGGTTCGCCATATCGTGATATGTAAATTGTCATCTGTTTAGAATTATCTGCCTTATTGATTTTATCGATTTTTTATACCTATTTTAATAATAGAAAGGATAGACCTTACAAATTGATCGAGGAGCCAATAATTGTGAAAATTGCCAAGAAGTATGGCAAAACACCTGCTCAAGTTATTATTCGTCATGGTATCCAACGCGGTGTTTGTGTTATCCCCAAAAGTCGTACACCGGAAAGAATTAGAGAGAATTTCCAGGTAAAAAAGAAAGACAATTCTTACTATTTGTTTGTCTTGTTTCTTCTTATAGATCTTTGATTTTGAATTAACTGAGGATGAAATGAAGGAAATAGGAGATCTTGGGATCTATGAAAGGCAAATTCGTGGGGATCCGTAAGTTTTCCAAAAATCAATTTATTTCTACGCTTTCATCAAAACGGTGTCTTAGTTTGCCTGTGAGATCCTCTTTTTTGAAAATACTTTACACCACTTCCTACAGATTATGGCCATCTCTATTTATATGCACATCCCGTACTTTTCTTGCATTTGAGAAATGGAGCACCGCAGTTGATTTCTTGTTTATTCCTATTTTAGCATGCGTGGAAACCCCGAGTTCCCGTTTCTGGATATTCTTTAACTGCTCGCTTCTCAAGTCCTTCATAGAATGATTGTAATCAAAATGGATATTAATAAACATCTCCTTATTAATACAACAAAAGTCGTTTGTTTTACAACAGAATTATTGATCCATCCTCTGTGTGTTGGCGGATTACTCGGTAGGGCAGGAGATGGATTTCTTTGGGCATTAGAGTGAGTATATTCGTGGAGAGATTTGATCTGCCAAGGAGAATATAAAGCAAGTGATGGGTTATTTTATTCAAAAAATTTGAGCCGAGTTAGTTTCGTGCGCGACTTATTCTGTTGATAGCTCATTAAACGAAAACAAGTCTTCATTCATCGATTACAAGCTTTAAACCAATACCCTCCAAAACTAACCAAATAGGCAATAAAGTCAAAGAAATCCATTCATGAGTTAAACTTAAGTTCGACATTTTGTCATCACGGTGGTATCTGTGCTTTCAATGTCGGGTCAAATGATAAAGACCTTTTGAGATACGACAAAGAGTGCGATTGGTTTCCATCGTCATTTACTTTACCAAGAGCATAATACGATGGATCGATAAGACATGTTTCCTCTAAAGCCTTTTAGAATTTTTTGTATATTTGCTAGCCCATTACATGCACAATTGAAACCTTCGAAATCCCTCCTCTCGGGTACATGTAAAAGTTATAACTTCGACCCAAAATATTTCCCACAGTCTTTGCATGCACATCCGCTCATTAAAACCCTAACTAAAGAAGAGTAATAGAATAAATAAATTAAAAAGGCATAAACAGTAAAATTAAGGCTTAATGTGTGAGTCAATTGCCCAGGGAACTGACTTAACAATTCATTTAGCGAGCCTGCATGGCCACCAAGAACAAATGCTCGGTGGTTCAAAGAGCTCGCAAAATAAATATTGTAAAGAGCAATCTGACTGCTCATCAAGCTCTTTCAAAGCCATCCGCGAACTCAATACAAGGAATATTTACATGTAATGGCAGAAAATATCAAAATTTTTTTCCTCCAATAAACAATATCCTATTATCGGTGCGATTCGTGCGTTTGATACAAGCGTTAACAACTTTTTTAAATGATCGATTAGACAAAATAAATAAATCCACATCGATCAACATCAACCTACCCTATCTGAGAGGCACTGGTTTCGGTGATTTCGACACGTTTATTGATCTGACAGAAGACATAGGAGTCTAGGTTCGGCCGAAGAGCTGAAATGAGAAAAAAATGGTAAGAATAACCTTGCGTTATTGAGTGTGTGCCATACCTGTTTCGTCTGGGTCAAATTTTTGCATGTTAACTGGGAGATTATTCAATACACCAAACCGCAAGTTGTTAAGTGTAGCATCATCGAATCTAAACAAAAAAGAGGTACTGCACAGTAGGTTAAAAACACCTTTTAGGCACACAAATGTATTTTGAAGCATCTTTACACAACTGGTTATTTCCGCGATGTACTCGGACACATTAACGCACGGAAAACCCGGCACATGTCTACCATATCGAGGAGCCCATTTGGTGAGAAACGACATTCTGCCACACCCTGATTTAATTAAGCTTAACCAGTATGGCTGACCAGCCCTTTCCATGTGTGCGCACCGACGGGCATCGAATTTATTAATCACAGCGCCACCAGCACAAACTATTTGCTTTATTGATTCAAATGTTTTCATCTGCCACATAAATGCTGTTACATCACTGTGATGGCAAAGTATACCCAATCTATTGGCATGATTAACTTATCCAGATACTTGGATCAATTTTTCGAAGGAAATCCAACAGCTTCGCGCCTAATGAAAAAAATTGTCTGCGGAAGTTGAATGAGCGATTATGAAGTTCCATTATTGAAGTGCAATATCCTCAATTTGGCTACCAATGATGTCTCCCCTACGTTCGAATCACAGCAATTACAGATTAGTTATTTTTCCTTCTATTGAAAGAGAACCCTCAACTAGTGGTATTATTAAAAAAATAGTACAGAAAAAAAATAGGCCTACGCTTTCGCGAAGTTAAATTCTGCGGGCGAAAGATGCGGTTCTTCTGATTGTGATCTTGCACGCTCTTCCATTATAACATGGTGAGGATATTGTTCAATCTAAAAGTAAACACAACAACACCACCGTACTTCTTGCACAGACGTAAAAACTTATAGAAGCTTGCGACTATTCGTGGGTCTATTAGTTAAGAGGGAAATAACAAACGAAATAAGAAGTGTTAAAAGAGATTAGTAATAATAATGCCCATAAGAAGAGTAAGCTTAAATCTTGAGATTTTTAAGCAACTGAGAAGGATGCCAAAAAATTTAATAACAAACTATAAAAATGTTTATAATCCAGATAAGGAGAATTTAATGCAGCACAACTACAATTTAAAATAGATGAAAAAGTCAAAATAATTCCTTTTTTGCCTAATCCAATAACAAACACACGAAATTGATCATTTCTACGCTTTCCAAAAAAACTAGAATAAATTCTCTAATTGTTTTTTTCGATACGAAAAACGTAAGATAAATCCCCCCCCCCTTCTTTCAATGATACGAAAAAATCTGAATTGCTCAACAAACAATTATTACCACAACGATATCAGTACTAATCATATTTCCTAAACTCAAACTAGCAATAAAGAATAAATATAATAAAAATGCACATTCTTAATCCCCACCTTCCTAATTCGTACTCGGATGTAGTCTGTGAGGAGATAGCGTAGGCGCTCGACCTAAATCACGATAGGAAAGGAACACAACCGGTTGAAAGATTCAAACGCATTAAGTACTAAATTTGGCAACTAATATTTACCTTTAATTTCATTAGTTGCGTTTTTAAATCACCTCTTGGTTGTCTAGTGATCTGGTGCTCAAATGTCGACAGTTCATTCGCAATCAGTGATATAATTCCAGTTTGAGCAGCCATTAGTTCAGGTGAGAGCTTCTCATTCTGCCAGATCTACGAAATAATAAATCCCTCTAAAATACAGGAATAGACACTCACCTTCTTGAAACGTTTAATCAATTCTGGTAGAGTGACGCTTTCAGTGGCATCCTCACCGCGTTGTTGTCCAATGGGACCAAATAGCTCCTCATTCTCCTCATCAGAACCACCAATGATGTCCTCTAAATCTGGTGCTGACGCCTGAATAAACACAGGTTACTTATTTTTAACAAGTAGAAGGTGAAAAACCGGTTTTCCAAAAGAAACAAACAACAAGATGTACAAAGCAAAAAAACAGAAAACTATTTTAAGAAAATGCAAATATATTTCCAAGAATAGGAGGTCGAGTCAATATAAAAAACGGCCATATCACATATTAGGACGAAATTAAGAATAGGAAATCAAAATATGAACAGGGTAAGGGTTATCACACACCGTCAGCATAATTTGAATTACCGATAGGTAACGGGATTTGAGTCCTATCGATTGCGTTTATAACCCACTTTTGATTTCCGTTTTGTAACTAATCGGGATTCTAAACAAAATCGTTAAGATGAGTAGGAATCAAACCTACTAATATGATCAATCAGGTCACACCGCTTTGTATAGACAGAGAGCAAACAAAAGGGACAGAGGAACTTCGGTACTGAGTGGGCTTCGCGAAGGTGACGATCAATCCTAGAAGACTGTGAAGAACAACCAGTCCATAAACAGGTACTAACTTTTACACCATTCCTTACAACATGGCTCACGATATGATTCGCGAATTCAATCGGATTGTCAAATCTAATTAAATTAAAAATATAAATCCTTCAATATGTTACTTTAGCTCACAACCCAGCCACTGACAATAAAGGCCTTTGTAATGTAGAGAACAAAGGTGGCTATCTATCCATTTTGACCTAGTTGATTTACAACTGAGAACAACAGACTCATCTTTTGATGTCAAACAGCTGCGTACCAAAGCCGAATCACTTTGAAGGGTACTTATGCTATTATTCCGACATATAGAGGCATAACCGTGGAGAAGTAAATGAGCGCGATTAAGATTTTTCGGAGCAGGGCAACCAATCCACAGGCAAGTTGAAGAAGAATGTAAATGAGACTCCATATGAGCCAAAACCTCCATGGCGCCCGTCAGTTCACTTGGACCTGCAACACAGCCAATCCACAGGCAATAGAACCCAGACTGAAATATGTCCGTAATTTGGTCAGAATAACCAAGTCTAACATGACCTAGTAAATCATTTAGACACGTAAATTTGGATAGGCATATTGGACAAGGATGCGTTTTTAGTTGCTTCAAGAACAGAGAAATCCCGTTGTTACAAATAGTTGTATGCTCACACAAATTGAAGATAGAATCTGTTTCGAAATTACAAGAACATAAAAAATTAAATGAAATATGGTGAGAAGAAATATGGGAACATTCACATGAAGCCGGAAAAGGAAGCAGACAATGAGTTCGTGAAACAAGATACTCAGTAAAGACATGGTATTTGACATGTCGAATGAGTGTAGATGGGGCTACGGAGAAATAATCGGGTGGATAATCACAATTTAGCCATGCGCATTTAAAATCGTTTCCTCGAATACTGTCCGTAACATAAACAGCACTAAGATGTTCACTGACAGCATGATCCTCCAAAGATCGAATTGCAGAAAAACCCTTAAGACAGTTTTTCCATCGACAGTTAAACATAAGTATTAATAAGTAACAGGAGAAGCAATTTCCAAATGCCTAGATTCTGTAATGCAAAAAAATGAATAAAAACAGCGATGAATTCTACGTCGAATCCATCAACCAACAATATAAGGATGGGACAATAGGAGAAATTTCAATAATTCAAGGTTACATATATGAAAATCAAGAATTAACTAATTTAAATAAATATTGGTCAGCATAAATATAATATTGTCTTGTAAAATTGTTTCTTTTAAATATTCGTTACATTTTGCATAAACAAAATCAGTTCAATGTGACGTCATTGGCACTAGGTCTGCGTATTTCGACAAATAATATTTTACTGTATGTTTTAAACTACTCAACCGATATTGACTTCTGATGTTCGAAGAAATATTTTTTATCCCTTTGGTGAGTTCTTTAAGTTATCATAAATCTTAGTTATTTATTAATCTCAAGTGGCAGGTGTTCTGATAGATATCATAAGCTCCTTAGCTGACTCCGGGCATCACAGAGGGGAGGAACAGTCTCAAAAGGTCGAGAGGGAACAGAAGAATAATTCACATATGTTAAAGAGACAAACAGGCACAAAGGTGAGTTGAGTACTTTGAAAATGGTCAAATATGACACCCATCGGGGTCATGATAGTTTGAAGTCAGAAGTCAACTGCCGGTTTATAGCTTTGGCAGTTTGAAGTTGGGTCATGATAGTTTGAAGTCAGAAGTCAACTGCCGGTTTATAGACTTTTAGCCGTATGAGTATACGTTGCAAAGGGTGTACCAAGTGGAAGTAAGTCTATCGCACACCCCAGTTACCATATATTTAGAGTCATATTACAAAATCTTTTACTAATAGTATTTTAGTAATTTTCAATTAAGTACCATTCATTTACTATGTGTCAAAATATTTTTTGAAACGCTGACTGATTAAAAAAGATAACCCTCAGTATCATTTGATTATCATTTATCAACCTGTCAATTTTGTGCCGTTTGATGAAAGGACAATCAATATACCATACTACACAAGGAACCTATCCTTGCCTACAGACTGTGAATTGATTATCACGTTTACATTAATATGCAATAGCCTTTCCACGAATATATCCATGGCAAATTCGATGCAAAGAACAATAACCATTGTTGGCAAATTAGTAAAATAAACAGAAACACTAAATACAAACATTCCCATCATTTAATGTGCGACAAGCTCACTCACACACAATATGCCTAGGTAGTGGTTTTTGCAAAGCTAAACAGGAGAAGATAGTCCACTATGAACCCAATGCCACCACAGTTCCTTTCTGTGACTGGATTTCATGCAAAACATGACTTACTAACCTGCTACAGCAAAAAACTTTGATTAATCTTGCCAAGCCGTAACTCCCAAGGGAAACCATGTGCAAATGGCTAAATTGCACAATTCATTATGATAGTAGCTCTATAATAATAAACACATTCCTCTCTTTAGTTTCGGTTTTGCGCACTAATTCCAATGTATTAAGCGCTATTACATTAAAAATAATATCAATAATGCCCCCGGAACTTAGATATAAAATTAATTGGTTTAAGCACCATAAATTCGTACACAGTATAGTGGTGACGTCATCGTGATTTTCACGTGGTATCAGCCAATCGATTGTTATGAAATAATAGTCCCCATCAGATCAATGGATTAAGGTTGGAATATAAAATAGCGACGGTTTTGGTTGGACAAAATCGATGATGAATTACTAAACCTTAAGGTAAACAAAATGTAAAACGGACTCAGCAGTTTGAAAAGAAAAACTGGGGGAGCTTTAATTAATGAAATTTATAAATTAAGCACATGTAAATATTGCATAAGAATGCCGTGTTTACACAAATACGACCCAAAGACATGTAATTAAAAAACATTGTGTACAAATACCCAATAAAACTACAATTCAGATCGTGGGATCTTATGGCGGTTGCTCTCTGCCATTTCTACAAAATCGTTTTTATCCATACATCCCGTGCATTCGAGACCAATAAATGCAAGGGTTTGTTTTAGTTGCTTAACAGTCATCTTCTTGAAATCGGCATCATGGGAAGGCACAAATTCTAAAACCAATATAAACACAACAAAATAACATACGATGCATAATTTCACAAATTTGAGGATCTTTCTCTGCCAACTTCGCGCAAATTTTTTCAGCAGGATAACCGATCGTAAGCATACGCGCAACGTCATTTACAACTCGGGTTGGGGAATTCGGTAACGCACCGATGTTTGAACACTTAAAATATGAATTAATTGACAACTTACAATCTTTCTGTGCTTTCCAAAATATGTAATACAGGCGTCATCGATCACCTTTTCAGCACTTGTGCCAACGTTTTCTTCAACTGCCTTCTGTAATTTATCCATTACTTCGATGCAAACTATAGAGAAATTGCTTACATCAAAGACAAGTTACCTTGGCATTTTGCTTGAGGGGTAGAAGTCTTAACTGTCGAATAAATTAAAAAAGGAATAGCAAGAATAAGTAAAAAGCAAACACCCCTGAACATCTTGGAAATGAAGTGGCGCGTACAGCTGGCAAAATTTTTATGCACTTGTAGATTTATATAAACAAATACCTTCCATCGAATTATTATTGACTTAATTTTTTGTAAACATCGAGTCAATTTTTCGAATATAATTTGAAATATTTGTAGTAATAAATAATTACATGAACAAAGAGAAATCACGTACATCATATATAAGTTTGGCTTGATTAAAATTAAAACAACATCTGCGGTTTTGTATGCAAATTTAACAATTCTAATGATTTCATAATTATAATTTTATTATATTTGGTATTCATTGTCTGAAATATTCATAAAATTAAACCTCATTATACCGATAACTACTATATCCCATTAAAATGATCAATATATACGGTTATTTATTTGCTAATTTATTTAACCTACTATTTGTTTTGATAATTTTTATGATGGATTTGTGTGTAAATAGTAAAAGATCGCGGGAGCGGCACGAATCAGGGCAAGTGCAGTGATATTGATAAGTCAGCCACTAAAGGGCTTAAGGAATGGGAATTTCGATAAGAATTTATATATTATATCCTCTTATCGAATTCCAATTTAATGAAAGTTTCCGCAGTTAAATTTGTCCCGCAGTTACTTTTGTTTGATGTTCAAAAACAAAACTATTTAAACTTGCTTTACGATTTGTTTTGCATGACATATATGCTAAATTTTAAATCGGTTTCCTCATATGATTTTGAAAAAGTATAGGCTTGAGTTGTTTTTGTGCTCGTAGTGAGTTTCGTAAATAGTGGATATTTTTAGAGCTGACTATTTTATAGCACAAAGAATTCAATCAATATAAGAATTCCGACTAGTAATTAAAATAATCGCTACGGCATAATGTCAATAATTTTTTTTAAATGTGAACAATTTAAAGCCCATTTCTGGTGAAAAGTATAAAAATATATCCTTAAGAATTGTTTCATCTGACAGAAAATAGTTCAAATATCTCAGTCATAACCATAATATATTTCAAATGTTTATATAGAACACAAGTTTTAATGATAATTTGAACGATTTAGACAATGTTAACGTGTTTAGTTCGGGGAAAAGGTGAGAGTTTAATATTCTGTTATAAGTTTTCATTTCGCAATAGGCCACGGTCAAGGAGTTTTCTTTCTTACGAAATCGACTAACAAGAACATGGATAACAAACCAAGCAACAGAAACATTAAAACTAGAAAAGATAAAATTTATAAGGAAACATTTTCATAGATTAGTCAAATAAAAAGGTTATCCATTAATTTGTCAAAAATGTTCACTCACTCCACTTTACTCCACCTTTTGTCTTCTTGGTGGAATATTCTACTAAACCTATTATTGAAATATTCATCAAGACATCTGATTCGGTTAAGGCCTTTACAAAGCTACTATTAATAACAGATTAATGAACGTGTGCATCTTTTAAAGGATACAAAGAAAAGCAACTACAAATGCTTCACATGTGTACTGGTCTCGTTTTCCACGTCTAACATCAAAAATCTAGAAAATTAAGAATAGTTACTTTTGGTTCGTTAAACCCGATTAACTTACTGATTTAACTGTTTTATTCCAAAACGGTCTTTTGCGTATAAGACAAAAATTTAAACCCGAAAGCATTAATACCAAATATATCTACAAAATTAATAAGAGATTTATCTTAAATGATTAATAAGCTATTATAAAGATATTTTTCAACATACCACTGCTACTGTTGCAAGTGCACTTTTGGGCGAAATCATACCAAATAAAATTTAAAAAAATGATTCGTAAGCAAGCAATTAGTCTGTCAATTATTCCATGAATAAGCAACGTTTTTACAATAGACTTAAACTATGGTGCTATATTGATTTTTAATCATATTAATTAGAATGAGTCAGGTCCTCATATTTGTGTTATTTAATCATTAGATTAAATAAATAACAGGTACTTATTTATTATACTCATTTTTATCCACCTTTACCAGATACAGGAAACTATTAGTCATTTCCAAGTGCACTTATGTGTTTTTTTCTAATTTCACAATTTTAACGTATAAAAAGATTTTTCAGTTGCTTGGATGTATTTAAGGTAACTTTGTATTCATTTTTAGGTCTCTTAGAGTTGATATGAATGGATGCATGCTCTTGCTTGCATCGGTTTCTTCCTGCTCAAAAAATGTTAGCTTCTTGCTGATTTTCCTATATTTCTCAAGAAATGCATACAATGACATTAACACATCCTGTGTTACTCACTTATGCAACTGTCAAAACTTTGGTAATAATTGCAATGGACACACTCAGATGCATACTGATCTATGCCAACTTTTGAAAATCTGATCAGAAATCTTGACTTCTTTTCTCTCTGAGCCAGAGTTAACAAAAACCTATCGATATCCAGTGGCCAGATAAGTCCTAACAGCAAAAAAAGGATTTTCTAATAGTGCAATAGCATAAAAGAGTAATGTTTTGTTCAATTGAACTTCAGGGCTCTGCTTATGCAACTTCTTTCACATGTAGCGGATTGCTACACTAGTAAAGCCTGATTGACTCAGAAATCTCTGTGGCAGATTCTCCTACATCTACCTAGACTCCCATAACTAGCTAAGCTATAGCCCAGCTATAGAGGAAACAGACGTATAGTGCGGAACACGTTTATTCAGTGGGGTTATTGTGGATAAAGTGTACACACAGGGAGCTTATCATGATCAGGATGGCGGATTAGGTTAAACAAACAGAGGCTACTGATCGGGCACTGTTTGTACGGTCACTGCACAGAGTTGTACGGCCGTACCTCCCAATCCTGGCGTGCAGGCGTGCGATAACGTGTCCCACACACAATAAACTACCCCAGATCGAGCAATCGAGTACTGGCTACGTTAAGAATGCTTTCTTTCTTTGCCATTCCCTTCAAGTTTGTTATGCCCCGAGCGAATCACTTTAATTATTGCCAATTTTACATACGTGGCAATGTGTACAGCCAAGACACAAGGAGTGCATAATGGTACCCAATTGGGAACAAGAAAATGCAGTGCGGTTAAAAAAAGCTTCATACGAGTAATCGTTATAAGGTGAGAAAGTGCACTGGATTATATTCTCACGAGGATAATGAGGTCATCAAAACCAGACATTTAGTTAAAATATTTAAAATGTGCGTATTTCTCCAGTGTGGTGCAAAGTGAAAAAGCTTCTAATACTAATTAAAATTGTCAATACATTTTGTTGATCAGTAAATGATTTTTTTAATAAATGCCTTTTTAGCCAGCGATGAAACAGAACTTATCTGAGGATCCGTGTTACGTAAAGCCCTGCACAAGGATGCCATTCGGCTTCTCTTTGTTGTGCATTTACCGACTCTATCAATTGCAATAATTACTAGTTATACTACTTTTAACCACCTCTACTGACTCAGTTCGTCTGGTTTGTGGGACACGTCATCGCATGCCTGCACGCCAAGATTATTATTATTATTATTATTATTTCAAATGGCAGGCGTTTTGAATATTTATCATTAGCCATTTAGCTGACTTTGGCGTTTGCGGAGGGAGGAAAATCAAAATGAGAGCAATTCGGGGGGGGGGGGGGNGGGGGGGGGGGGGACAGAAGGGTGATTCAAAGATGTAGAGGAGACAGACAGACACTAAGGCAGAGAAAAGGTGAGATGAGTACTGTAAGCTGTGTAATATGACAGTGGGGTGATGGTAGTTTGAAGTCAGAAGTCAGCTGCCGGTTAATAGACTCTTTTGCCGTATGAGTATACATTGCCCAGGGTGCACNACACAAATCGGCGGAAACATGGAGCGCCTGGGTACCGATCCTAGCACTTCTCGCATGCTAGAGCCCCACTGCACGCCAAGATTGGGAGGTGCGACCGTACAAACAGTGCCCAATCATTAACCTCTGTTTGTTTAACCTAATCCGCCATCCTGATCATTTTTAAGCTTCCTGCGTGTGCACTTTATCCACAATATACTCACTGAATAACCTGTTTCCTTTAAAACTGAGCTATAGCTTAGCTGGTTCTGGGAGTCTAGCTAGATGTTGGAAAATCTGCCATAGAGACTTCTGAGTCAGTCAGGCTTTACTAAGGTGTTTAGCTGGTTCTGGGAGTCTAGCTAGATGTAGGAGGATCTCCCATTGAGATTTCTGAGTCAGTCAGGCTTTACTAGCGTAGCCAGAGATTTCTGAGTTAGTCAGGCTTTACTAGAGTAGCAATATTTCTGAGTCAGTCAGGCTTTACTAGCGTAGCAATCCGTGCTTCTGAGTCAGTCAGGCTTTACTATAGGTTCTTGCACTTGCACTTGAGCAATGTGGACTTGTCCTACCTGCCTCTGTCTTCTCATTCAGAAGAGGGTATTATTGCCTATAGGCTTTAGGAAAATCAATAGTTTCTTATGGACTACTTAAACCTAGTTTGATTTTGCCACTTATAGAAGCCTTACTTACTTACTTTAGAATACTACTTTCATGAGTACCTTAGTTCCCATTTCAGACCACTTGACGATAACTGGAACTCCTGCCAATAGGCAAGATCTTATTACTCAACGTACATAAATATGTTGAATTCCAAGGAAGTGTATGTCAATATATTTTTTCGCTGACCTGCCTCGAAGTTGGGAAAATAATATGCAGGCGTACTTCCAGAAGCCGAAAAATAAATGGCTCTTTTCTCACTTCCTGTATTAATCAATAAGAATTTTCAAAATAGTCTTGTTCGTTATGAATGACTGTTAAGAAAAATTAGTACCAACCTTTCAACAAAACGTGTATAGTGCAAACATTATTTATTAGATTGCTAGAAATTATTTCAAGGGGATCAAATGATGAATATATTTGCGCCATAGTATGGAACACCTGGTTACATCAAATCATAACATAGACGGTAACCGCAATTAGTCAGAAGGGAATTGAAAGCTAGTTCTCCGGACCAGCACATTTCTACTCCTAATTTTCAGTTTTTAAGGTTCAAACCACAAATTACTAAGCTTATCACAGGAAGACGGGGGCTCTGAGGTGATTTGACCGTATCCAAAATCATATAAATCACTACCCACAGTGTCTACTTTACGCAGTAGTTCAAATAAGGTGAATCAATGTGCTAGCCGTATTTTCGCATAACCTTTCGTGAAGATTTTTCGGTATTACTGAATCAGTACATTTTCCCCAAAGTCCGAAGACGGTCTCACAAGATTTTAAACAGCTTTCATTGTTTCAACACAATATAACTCATTCACGATGAGATCTGTGCGACTTACAGCTGAGAAAACTGCGAATATTCCAGTAAACAGAGTACTATTGCAAAATAAATCAATAGAGAAAGCTCGCCACCGTCACCCTGATCATAGCATTTAAGAACGATAGCAAAATAAGAAAAGAGAGGCAACTTTATAAACAAAGGAAAATATATTTATGCAAAAATGAATACAAAAGCCACCGCAAATCTATCATAAACGAAAGGGAATATTTTAATGGAAAAAAGTTCATTTCCAACAACAAGTGCCGAGGGAATTTAGAAGAGAGAGAAACTAAAAAAGGAAAAATAAAACAATAAAGAATGTTGTCTGTTACTACCTTTGATAGAATATCACTCACAAGCCAGCAATTTAAAACACACAATACCTAAGAAAGTGATAAAATTAACCCGTGATCAAGTTAACTAAAATTGTAACAATAGTATTTGGTAATAAAAAGGATTCATCTCCCCCCCTCTCTCCTCTCCCCACGGTCAGAGGTTTGCAAGTTTGCTCAGACAAGCAGGCACACCAGTTAACAAGGAAGTACCGGCCAGCAGAGTAAACGAATATGGGAATATTCTAGTGAATAAGATTGAATCAGAGATTTGAAAAGAAAAAATACAAATCTTCACTATAGAAATACTCTGACCTGCTGAATAATAAGATCCATTACCACATACACACCTTAGTCAGTATGGAGGAATCATTCTTCTGCAGACCGATTTGAACTGGATGGATAAATTGCGATTTTTCTCAACTTGCTCTCGAGAGCAAAGAAAAAACTATACACTCTCCAAAACCTCAGCAAATGAAATTCTTAAGAAAAATGAGATTTTGATCAGAACTAGTGCTACGTATAAATCTTGACTAGTATTTATACTACTCCTTAGTGCAATAATAATTAGCTTGTAAGGAATTCAACCACCATCAAAACTTTTCGTTCACAAAAGTTAGTATAAGCAAAATATGAAATTAAGCAAACACTGTGTCATAAAATCTTACAACTAATTCCATCCACACCCAAAGTATAAGCACAATTGAGGAAAAATTAACTTACTGATAAGTTGTTTGACCGGTTTTACCAGAGTAGCAGGTAGCCAATTGGTTGAAGCCTACCACAGTCAAAGCAAGACTCACCAAAACTCCAACTACGAGGAAAAAGAATAAAAAAGTGGAACAAAAATGCGCGAAAAGATGAAAAAAAGGAGAAACTTACTCGAATGAAGGAATTTCCTCTTCCGATACTTAGGGCAATTAGTGGTAAGAAGCACTACACCACCGCTTGTCATGGCATCTGAATAAAAGCCGAGGAAATAAGAAAACATTAAAACTTACAAAAAGACATTATAAGGAGCACTTCAGAGCCAAGTTGGGCTCCATTTCGAGGATAAATAAAGATTATTTGCCCACCCTGAGATGATATGAAAGGCGTATTGTGGATGTTAACAAACATTAATCCCGAGAGCATTGAGCAGATAAAACACTGAAAAAAAGACGATATCAGGAAATTCATAGACACCACTTACCAAACACAAAATGCCCACGAATTTCACACTTCTGAACCACTTAATTTTGTAAAAAAGATAGGCGATGATAAGGAGGAGAGAAGCTAAGTATATCAGACTCATATCCATAGGGACAGAAGCTTCGACTTTGACATTTGATAATTTTGAAATCCAGTCGGCAAGCAAAGCTGGATGGCTAACAATTTTGAAATCATTAATCTTATCCCATTCACGCATAGATTGGTGAGGACCAATGTGATATACAAAAGGAGCAGTCTGTATATTCAACTTAAAAAAGCACGGAATAATGAACCAATTGATCAAACCATTCTCACTAAATCCATATTATCCAAGAAGTCTACGAAACCAAAGAAAATTTCAGAGGAATCTTGATGATCCTTCTTCCACTTTCCCGCAATGTTAGCGAGAGCATCCATTGCAGGTCTAAAAATACAAAAGCAGAAAAACTAACTCACCCACAGGGATCACATTGAGCCTTCTTAGATGCAATAATGAACACAATTGAGAAATTTCGTTGATAGGGCAGGATATACTTCTCAAATATATCCGAACTTAGAAGTATTAAACCGTCTTTTCTTGGGATCGTTTTAAGCAAACGCACCGTTTCATCAAGAACATTCTAAAATAGATTAAAATTATTTAGCGTACCTCATTTGCATTTGAAAGTACTAAACCTAAGGCGAGGAGTAGTGTGAAAACAGTACGAAAGCTAATATCCATTCTACACACTACGTCTTATTGTGCGCCAAATCATAGCAAATCGTTGAAGAATATTCAATAGCGGGATTTTTGAAAATAGACGGCGTTGACCAATGATAGTGAGGGTCGTGTTAGCTTTTAATTAGGCTATCAACAACTAAAATAAACGGTAAATTTCGTTGAAAATTCCAAACATTTAGCGTGAACAGTCCCAAAACTAAGTCAAATTATATTTGGAATGTAAAATTTAAAGGCGAGTAATTTACTTATGCACAAGTAAGTTTACAAATATATAAATTCAATTTAGGCAAAGTTTACTCATGATTTCGTTTTTTGAATAAATATATCGGAATAAATTTTAGCAATCTAAATGAAACTAAAATTATTATTATAACAGTAAGAAAATTTTACAAAGTTTTACAGAAAATGCGAAACTAAATACTTGATGGGAGACGAATGAAAACATACCCATAAAACTTTAGAAATGCCCAATTAGGTTGATTATTTCATGTTATCATTAAATATCTTTGACCCGTTCAGTTTTTTCCAAGAGTACTCTATTCACTGCTATAATAATAGGCGTGCTTAATCTAGAATTTCACTTTAAAACTGTGTTGTCAGTGCTAACATTGATGAAGGCTGTCGTTGAGTTCCACTTTGTTCTACTGAACAAAATTTTAGAGGTAAAGTTTGTGGTTAATAAATGCCTTTAATTTTCTTATAAGTAGCTACTATACTATTCAGAGAGTGACTCTCCATCTTTGTATAAAAATAGAAATCAGCTTGCAAAAGAGTATCAATTAGAACAAACTTATTTTACTCAGAGTATTTTCATTTACAAATGAAATGGAATTTTTGAGCGAAATTGAAGCAACCAGTTTGGCAAATATATGTTTCAAAATAATTTGCCTTAGCTGATCGATGTATGATAAATATGACCTTATCAACCCAAGTTTTTATTTATGACAACGAGTTTTTGAATTTACATTAAACCCATTTTCTTTATTTATGAAAGACCTCTTTTAGTTTACAATGGATAGGGTATGAAATTCACTATATTTGGTTTTGAAAGATAACCTTGACGCCCCGCTACTTATAATTGAATAAATCTCTTATCATATTATTACTTTATAAACTCTAACAGCTTTAAGCTTATTGTTTCCAAACGTATTTCATTTTCTTTTAAGTTAAGCTTAATGCTCTGTTGGAATCGTTTTGATACCAAATACATATGTCTTTTGCTCATTCCAACGAGTAAATTAAACTAATTGCATCACCTTTGCCATATACAGTTAATACTGATATATAGACTTATTTTTTTATCTCCATTCACAGAATTTTATATGTTATGAAAATTATACAACTTGAATTGCGAAAAGGATTTGAAGTAAATTTTTGTTATTTAAACATATTTACCGCTAGAACTCTATTAATTTGTCCAAAATTCCTGATTTATCAGATCAATACTTTCTCATTTTTCGAAAATTTTGTTCTGGTGTCACCTACGACTTTTCTGTTACTGTCCGATTATCTCCTAAAGACGAACCGGTTGTTCAAAAATACAATTCAGCACACTTTAAAGTCATCCACTTTTCATTCAATCGGAAAGACAACTGTAATCTTTTTATAATTACCTTGAGTTTTTCACCAACAAACCTACCAAAGTACACATATGAAATAAGTTTGAAAAACGAAACAAGTTCCACAATACAAATAGTCATTCTTGCTTTATCGGAGCCCCTAAAATTATGCGGACCAACTGTGACTATCTTTCCGCGTTGCTTAGTGAATGATAAATCGCAGAAATTAGTTACGTTCAGCACCAAATCTCTGACGCCTTTAAAGTATAATGCAACCGCTTTCGGGTATGAAAGTGTTACTTAAATGATTTCAGTCCCTTCTCGATTAAACCTTCTCATGGATTTATTTGCGGCAAGACAGAAGCTCATATACTTGTCACTTTTACTCCGAAAGACATTTATAAAATGGGTGGCCTGCTCGTCTTTGTTTGTGAAAATGGTAAGGAAAAGGACAAGGATGAAGTAATTCACTATTTGGTATTAGGTGAAGAATGTGTTTGCGAATTATCCGGTGAAGTCTATGAAGTGGAAGTTGGACTATCAGCATCTTTGGTAACTCTTCCATCAACTTTAATTGGGACGCATGGATACACTAAAGTTGCTATACAAAATTTAAGCAATCAAATAGTGAAATTCACCTGGACATTGAAAAATGCTACGCAAAATATCGTTATCCAGCCTACAACGGGAATCTTGAACCCTAAAACAGAGAGAGAAATAATAATTTCATATAATCCCGATAACGATGATTCCATTAATGCTACTGCTTTGTGTACCGTAACGGGAAGAAAAGATCCTCTCAAATTGGAAATATGCGGTCGTGGAAGGGCCCCAATTATTGAATTTTCCTTTACCCATATGGATACTGGAAACATTCTAGTCACAACTCCCCAAACTTTTGAACTGATCTTACAGAGCAAAAGTGAAGCCGAGACGCACTTCACCACTCAGTCGAATTCTGGAAGTCTATTTGTTTCCCCTGTTGAGGGAAAAATAAATGCGTATGGATACCAAACAATAAGAATTAGAATTCAGTCAACTCGTCTTGGTTATTTTGAAGAGAAACTTAGGTTTCAATTTGCTGGAAGCTCAAAAATACATTCCGTTGACTTCAGGTTTGCTTATACAGTGTACTAAAGAAGCATTTTAGTGGTGAAATAACTGCACCAGAAATTATATCTGAGCCAAACTATTTGGACTTCGGAGACGTTGCATTTGGTATTTAGCTCTAATATAAAATATTAATCACCTCCTAGACTACGGAGCTTCAAAGCTATTGAAATTAATAAATGCATCACCTCTTTGCCTTCCAATAAAACTGCTAGTTAATGATGCAGAAGGAGTTATAGTCAACAAATCTGAAATTTTCCTCGAAAAACAGGAGGCAACATTAATTGAACTAATTTACTTGGCTTCGGAAGTTGGACTTACAGAAGGCAATTTAGCGATTAACGTGGAATCGGTTGGCACAATACTGGAAATTCCTATTAGAGCGCGGTATGACTTCAATTGAATTAATGACTTCCCTAATCTTTTATTAGATGTTGTATTCCAAGAATAAAACAATGTGTAAAGAGAATCGAGATGGAGTCCTGTTTCATAAATCATCCAAAGGCATTTCAAATTGAAATCGATAATCCGACAAATATCTCAGCAAAATATCGAGTAATGGGAGTAGAAACAAAGGATGTTAAAATAATCCCTATTTCATCTACGGTACTTAGCCTTTTTTAATTTAAATTAAAAGAACGTAACTTAAACTTTTTGACTTTTTTTTTTCATTAGGGAATTCTTCCTCCCAATACGATTTATTTTATTAAGTTCGACTTACTCGGTAAAAATGTTGGCAATCTGAGAGAAAATATTGAAATTTCAATCGTTGGTGCTGAATATGAGCCTCTGGTAAACTCAAGGCGTTTAATTATTAAATGAACCTTAAAATTCTCTTAAATTTGTCTTTATGTTTTTTGTGTAAGATTTTTGAAATTACTTGCGAATGCGTGGGACCTGTCTTATCACTTAATACAAAGTGTATCGATTTTGGTGAAATTACAATCCTCACGCCATTTCAAAGGGTTATGGAACTTTTCAATTTATCGCCTATTCCTGCAAATGTCACCTGTTATATCGTAAGTTCTCAACTATCTATTTCGAGGGAGAACAGTAAACTTTAATCCATCGAGATTCTGATGCTCTCCTTTGGAAGAGGGCTCTTTCATCGATCAAAAATATTAATTTTGACGTTATTATTATTAAATATCGAGTTATTTACTCAATGCTAAATAGGTATGTGCTACCCAAAGTAAGTGAGAATAACGATTCGATTGTGCGGACATGCAAGTTAGTCTTGTCTGAGGTCTTTAAGGTAAAAAGAAAATAGCCAGTACCCTTTTTTCAAAACGTTCACTGAATATGCACAGATGACTATCACTTCCATTCTAAAAGACATGTTTTATCATTCGAATGGAAAAGCATTTTCACATGAATGATTATTTCTTACTTTCTTAGGGATTTTCGCAGTTTCGAAAACCACTATTTAATTGCTAAATAAGATATCGTTAATATTAATAAGTGCTTGCCAATATGTTGAGATGCACTATACAAATTATGTACACGTTAATAGATAAAGAAATCAACTAATTTTGAAGTGTCTCCACAACGATTGATAATTCCACCATTCGCAAAAGGACATATTGAAATTACCGTCTTCGTAAAAGCGGTTGGCGTAGAGGCTACTGATGTAGTAGAAATAAGTACTGAATATACTTCATCGATACCGTGGAAGGTTGATCTAAGGGCAATCAGCACTGGAGATCTGATATCTGTTGAGCCAGAGTTGAAACAAAGTCTTGAAATGGGTCAGCAATTTGTAAACCTTCCTCAAATTTACGAATTCACGGTGACTAATTGCAGTTACGCCCAACAAAGGCTTGTCTGGACAATTGAAAATGTACAAAGAATTCAAGGAGGTGGCAAGCGAAAGGTAAGAAGGCGATGAGATATATAATATATATGATTGACAAGAAAACGTTATTAAAATTTGCAGGAATTGACAAGGAACTTTTCCCCAACCACTTTTTTATAGCAGCAGTCTTATTTCCTTTTAGAAATCAAAAGCCGACGACTTTGAGATACTGCTAAATCCGCAAAAAATTGAGCTGAAGTCGTCCCAAAGTATTAATATTTCGCTTAAGATAACGTCATCTGGGTAAGTTCCTCCGCGATTTGTTGGTGATCTCCTTACCCACAAAACCACGGTGACTTTCTTTGACCGAATTTACTTCTTAATTAGGTTACTTATTTTTTGCTCTACTGTCATCTTTGCGCCTTTGTTCTGCCAAGTACTGCCCACTCATTTACCGAGGTTACTACATTATGCGCCAATGAGCCCTCATTTCTTTACCTCATCAATTCCAGGGTGTATGACAGCGATTCATGTTGGCTAAGGCAAGATCTGCTAGGTTCCCTGTTTTAGATTTAATTTAATTTATTTAATAATAGTCCTAGAATGGACTCCTGTTTTTGAGCTTGTAGTAAATAGTGTCGGTTCACTACCAGTTACCATTCGATATAAAGCGCGTTTCATTCATTTTTACTTATTGTAAATGAGACAGACAGACACAAACGTATTGAAGAAAGGAAGGCTAGAACTGTGGAAGTGGTCGAATATGGAATACAGTCGGATCATGGTAGTTTGAAGTCAACTACCAGAACTACGGAAGATTGATTCACAGATGTAAAAGAGACAGACACAAAGGTGGAGAAAAAGGTACGATAAGAACTGTGGAAGTGGTAAAATATGACTTACAGTTGGGTCATGGTAGTTTGAGGTTAGAAGTCAACTGACGGATTATAGACTTTTTATGCCTTATGAGTATACGTTGCCCAGGGTACATCACGTGGAGGTAAGTCTATCGTGCTCCCTTCAGCCAACTGTAGCCACAGGTATATTACAGTGGCTGCTAAGCTTTGCATAAGACCATCATAGTTTTGCTTGGTGAACATGAATCACAATTTTGATAAATTTCGAATCATTGAGACATTAATAACCCCATCAAAGGATTATATTTGTCAATTTACCTTTTAAAATTCGCATTTCCATTTACGAGCATATCTTCTTCTTTCCTTATCGAAATACCAGGCGGCAGAAAATTCAATTCACTCTCCAATGCCATTCGGTCTTAGCCAATAAGGGGCACAAGAGACTTCTACGGGAATGCAGAGTATCAGTAGAATTTATTGAACCCATGATTTCAATCATCCCAAACCCGATTAAATTCTACATTCTTAAGGTGAGGTAAATACTCATTTAACGAGCCATTCGTCAAGGAATGTGGGAAAGAAATTGAAAATCAATATCAAAATATTTCAATTATAAACGAGGCGGACATAGAAACATCAGCAAACCTGGCTATTCCAGAACCACTTTTTATAGTTGAAGATGGACAAATTTTTCAAAGTTTGGTATGCTTTCTTTTTTTAGATTTAGCTCTTACACTAAAATAGAATCTTTCAATTACTCACAAAGAACTTCGAAATATCACCATTGGTTATGCTGCAAATAGCTCCAACAGTAAATGTTCAAGTTATTCATTGACGAAACAATTAATTATATCATTCCATGATCATCCTTTGAAAGTGAGTAAAAATTATTGCTAACATCAATTTTAAAGATGAAAATATCAGTCTTAGCTCAGGTTTATTTTCCTAATCTACAAATTATGGAAAAGACTATTGATTTTGGGAGTATTCTAAACGGATCATCTCTTATCAAATCGATTATCTTATATAATGACCAACCTATCGAAGCTAAATATGAATGGACGTTATCGAACGGTTGTGTTAAAGATAATCCAAGTAAACCATTGCGAATTCCAAAACGCTCGAAATCTCTTGAAGTACTAAACGCTTATAATGAAGATATTGGACGCTGTTCATCGATTTCTAAAATCGATTCTTTGTACTACGAAGACGTATTTTCAGTATCCCCGCCTTTCGGTTCAATAAAGCCAGGAGAGAGCATATCGACTGATTTTAAATTTACTGGTTATCATGACTTATCAGCAAAATGCACTGCAAAATGTAAAATAATCGATGGTATGGATCACGAAATCGATTTAATTGGGCAGAGTTCAACATCTGACTGCTATATTACAACTACTAGCCTATCGTTTGAAGACATTCTTTTCAGCAAGGATGCAACCAGAATATTTCAAATTTACAACGCTGGCAAAGTTACCTGTCCATACTACTTCACTTGGGACAAGAATGATTTAAGTTTAAAAATCGATCCATCAGAGGGTGAAGTACCTGCAAAAGGAGTAACGGAAGTAGTGATCTCTGTCACAGTTCCAAAGCCTCAAGAATTCAATGTCTTCGCCAAAGTTCACCTAGCAAAACTGCCTCCGAAAAACATTAGGTTTTACGGAAAAGCATGTTTTCCCCACTTCAAATTTAAATCTTTAATTCCTAATGACAGCGTCTACTTTTGTAATGACCCTTGTGAATTCGCAGCTTCCCTAACTGCGAATGTGTTAGATTATCCGTAAGTTAAAATATGTATTCTACATATTTGTAGGCTGAAACTTCCAACAGTAAAGCTTGATCTATCTGATATGCTCTGTGGAGAAACGAAAACCGTGAAGATGGAATATGTGCAAACGATCCATAGATTCGTTAGTGCAATTACAATCGATAAACCAGTTAAAAGACATCTAGCAGAAAATGGGTTAACCATCACAATTGGAAGAGAAATTGAAGCGATATTCGATTCTTCTAAAACCAAAATTGGTGAAGTTATTCTGGATATACCATTAAAAGTTGGTTTGATTTTTGAATAATGCGAATCTCATTTTAGATTCATGAGAAGATTATACAACCACTTCAAGTCCATGCTAATATTGTCCCACTTGAGTTTAGAGTTAACCCAAGAGAGATTGATTTCGGGGATGTTTATTTAAATGAAGCAAGAATAATTTCAGTCCAACTGCATAATCCGACTCCCTTTCAATTATCCTGGGATCTTCTAGCTACTGAAGCATCTGGAGGATCAATCGAAGTACAGCCTAAATATGGTAGATTGAACCCAGATCAAAAGGAAAATGTCTACGTAGGTGTCCACTATCTCAACTTCATTAGATTTTTATAGATTAAATTTCATCCAAGGACTGGAGATGCTATAACTGAGAAAATCAATGTGCGGATTAATGGAAGTGGATCCACATCAACAATCAGTTGTCAAGGTAAAGGGTTGGAACCCCGTCTCATTGTCGAGCCGAAAGGAATTGAATTCAGACCTCTGAAATCGTGCGAAGATTATGACGAGAAGATCATAGTCATCAAAAATTCATGCAACTTTGATGTGGAATTTTACAGTGCAGATTTCGATGAAGCTCATATTCAAGTATGTTAAGCGGAAAAGCCTGAAAAATGCATGATTCTCTGCCTTTGTAGGAGGAAAAGATTCTTGAATGCTGTCCACTCTTTCAAGAATCTGAAGAGGTACTGATACCACCGAGAAAACCTGGTGAAGAACTGCCAAAGGAAATGCGTGATGTATTTGCTCAGATACAGAAATCTGGAGCAGGCAAGATAAAGGTGATTCAATTTTTTTATACTGGTGATTGTTACCAATGTCAAAACTTATTTACTTATAAATCATTAAATTGTGAAATATAACAATAAACTAGGAAAACAGAGGAAAGCGAAGTGGATGAAGGTTTCACAATCTACAAGCCAGGAGAGAGAGAGAATATAGAGAAGAGCACATTGAGGCCATTAAGACACAAAAGGGGTTCCCGATCAATGATCTTGAAAAATGAAAAAGAGACAATTATATAAATACATTGTTGGTTGAAAATATGCATTCCCAAGTGATAAAAGTATTTCCCTCATATTTAAAATGAACCCCCCACCGGCCTCTTGACTCACCAATTGTATCCACTTCACTTTGACGTGTCCTGAGAAGGTTAAAACTCGCTTTGTCCAGAGCTTATTTAACCAATCAGATGGTTACGAAATCTCAATACGGTTCCTTTTTCCATTGGGCTTGAGTAGTTAGTTAATTCCAGTTAAGATGATTTTATTCGGCGCAAATTACACGAGTTTCGCCAGTTTCACACTGCCTTAGCTTTGATAATCTATCGTTTTACCAATTTTACTTGAGGAATGCATCTGATATCCACTAAGAGTAAGTTCAAAATTAATTAAGGTTGTGGGGTAAAGGGAAGACATAGAGACTGAGGTCGAGATTAATTTGGTTTTTGAACTCAAATTTGGCAATATACACAAACTAGACGATTCAAATTTCTCTATTTGTCTCCTTTTTACAGCAAATTTTTGTCTGCGTTATTCAGTGTTTAGTTAATCAATTAGGGTTGATCTTATTGCTTCAATTCACTCTTTCCTCCAGTAGTTGAGAGGGTAAATACTCCTATGTAATGTTCTGTAGTTTGTAGTTTTAACACTGCGGAGATGAGAGGCTAATATTCTTATGAACCAGAGCTCCGTAATTTGTGTTCACCCAAGACTACTTCGGTAATAAAAATAATTATTTTGTCAATCCTATAGGTGGGGAGGGGAGAGGTGGGTAAGTATGATATTGAGACACTTGGATTTACGTCTATTACCTAGTATTAGTGAACACCAAAGTTGCAAATAATTTTATTACACTACCCGGAGAAGAACATTATTTATTAATCTCAAAAGGCAGGCGTTTTGAAAGTTATCATTAG